AACTGCCAGAAATTCAAGCTGGATTCAGAAGAGGACTTGGAAGGAGAGATATCACTGTTGATGTCAGATGGATCTTGGCTACAAGCAGAGAATACCCAAGAGATGTTTACCTGTGTTTTATTGACTATGTAAAGGCATTCAGCTGTGTGCATCATAACAAATTATGGATAACATTGCGAAGAATGAGAATTTCAGGACAGTTAATTGTGCTCATGAGAAACCTGTACATAGATCAAAAGGCAGTCGTTCGAACAGAACAAGGAGATACTGCGTGGTTTAAAGTCAAGAAAGGTGTGCATCAAGGTTGTATCCTTTCACCACACTTATTCAGTCTGTATGCTGAGCAAATAATCTGAGAAGCTGGACTATGTGAAGAAGTACGCAGCATCAGGATTGGTGGAAAACTCATTAATGACATGCATATACAGATGACACAACTTGCTTGCTGAAAGTGAAGAGGACTTGAAACACTTACTGATGAAGATCAAAGACTACAGCCTTCAGTATGGATTACAACTAAATATAAATAAAACAAAAATCCCCATAAGTGGACCAGTAAGCAACATCATGATAAATGGAGAAAAGACTGAAGTTGTCAAGGATTTCATTTTACGTGGATCCACAATCAACACCCACGGAAGCAATAGTCAAAAAATCAAAAGATGCATTACACTGGGCAAATACACTGCAAAAGACCTCTTTAAAGTGTTAAAAAGCAATGACTAAGGACTAAGGTGCACCTGACCCAAGCCATGGTGTTTTCAATCGTCTCATATGCACATGAAAGCTGGACAATGAATAAGGAAGATCAAAGAAGAATTGATGCCTTTGAATTATGGTGTTGGCGAAGAATATTGAATATACCAGGGACTGCCAAAAAAAATGAACAAATCTGTCTTGGAACATGTACAGTAAGAATGTTCGTGGCAAGCTTCATCTCACATACTTTGGACATGTTATCAGGAGGGATTGGTCCCTGGACCCTCTGCTTGGTAGAGGGTCAGCAAAAAAGAGGAAGACCCTCAAAGAGACGGATTGACACAGTGGCTCCAACCATGGGCTCAAGCGTAACAAGGATCATGAGGATGGCACAGGACCGGGCAGTGTTTCATTCTGTTGTACATATGCTATGAGTTGGAACCGACTTGAAGGCACCTAACAACAACTATATATATATATATACATATATATATACACATATATATATATCACACTATTATCTGTTTTTGAAAGCTCTGAGCAATTTGAGGAAATATTGTGGGGAAATTATTTATTACAGTTTTTAAATGCCCAAGCATTGATCAATTAGACAGTATTTATTGATTGTTGTGCAAGACCCTCTGGGTCGTACTGAGAGGTCAGAAGACATAAATGAGACTATAGACAGGTGGATAAGAAGTACATAATGAAAAGGCTTTCATTGGCAAGGCTTTCCCAGGAAACGAAACAGCAGGAGGCAGGATGATGGTATCAGGTTAATGAAGATGAGAGAGAGATTTGAGAGCCAAATTGGGGTATACGAGTATTGAATTTCTGCAAAGGAGTCTAAGTAATATTTAATGGAACTGAACTGGGATCCAACACAATACACTTTTTCTAGAGATTTATTTCTGCAGTTTTGATGTTGGAACTATGAAATGAAAATATGAAAGCTGGAAATGAGAAAATAGGATATTTTAATGTATTTACTAAGTAATAAATCACTTCATATACACAGATTGGAAGAGGAATTATTTGGCTAATGGATCATGTTAGTGAGATTTGTTTGCTGTCAACCTCTCAGCTCTGCCCACTCTATATTTGACCATCATTAAACTTCTAAGGGGATCCCTGGGTGGCACAAACAGTTAAGGGCGGGACTACTCGCCAAAAGGGTGGAGATTCTAACCTACGCAGAGGCACCTCAGAGGACAGGCCTGGTGATCTGCTTCCAAAAAGTCAGCCTTGAAAACCCTATAGAGCATAGTTCTATGCTGTACACATGGGGTCGTCATGAGCTGGAATCACCTGAATGGCAACTAACAACTACAAACTTCTTAGCAGAGCTCATGAGTTGGGGGCTGACTCCACAGCAGCTAAGAATAACAACGGAGACTTCTTCACTGTTTTCTCCAGCTTTTAGTCTGCTGCTGTCAATCTATTCAAACATCCTTGTAGGCTTTGGACCCTCTCTCTTCCCTTTCCTTGTGTTATCTGCACCATGTTACCTGTATTACACTCTGGATGATAAGCCCTCATTACCCAGAGTGTAATATAGGTACATCACTCTAGGTAATGGGTAATGCTTGATGAAAGTGAAGAGGACTTGAAGCACTTACTAATGAAAGTCAAAGACTACAGTCTTCAGTATGGATTACATCTTAACATAAAGAAAACAAAAATCCTCACAACTGGATAGATAAGCAACATCATGATAAATGGAGGAAAGACTGAACTTGTCAAGGACTTCATTTTACTTGGATCCGCAATCAATGCCCATGAAAGCAGCAGTCAAGAAATCAAACAAGGTATTGAACTGGGCAAATCTGCTGAAAAAGATCTCGTTAAAGTGTTAAAAAGCAAAGATGTCACCTTGAGGACTAAGGAGCACCTGCCCCAAATCATGGTATTTTCAATCACCTCATATGTATAAGAAAGCTGGACAATGAATAAGGAAGACTGAAGAAGAATTGATGCCTTTGAATTCTGGGGTTGGTGAAGAATATTGAATATACCATGGACTGCTGAAAGACTGAATAAATCTGTCTTGGAAGAAGTGCAGCCAGAATGCTTTTTAGAAGCAAGGATGGTGAGACTTTGTCTCACATATTTTGGACATGTTGTCAGGAGGGACCAGTCCCTGGAGAAGGACATCATGCTTGGTAAAGCAGAGGGTCATTGAAAAGGACGAAGACCCTCAATGAGATGGATTGACATGGCAGCTGCAGCAATGAGCTCAAACAGCAATGATTCTGAGGATGGTGCAGGACCAGGCAGTGTTTTGTTCTGTTATACACAGGGTCGCTATGAGTGGGAACTGACTCGACAGCACCTAACAAGAAAAAAAACGGGCCCTCCCTTGGGTGGCACTCTTGTCCTACCTAACCTTGCCCTGCCAGGTAAAGATAATCAATTAGCTACAACTGAATTGGATTGGATTGGATTTATTCCCTCCATCACCTCTAACCAATCCATTCATCCACTTCTTTCCTTTCTTTGAAATTCTCAAAACACTGAGGCACAGCTGCTTTGAAAATAGCAAGTATTCAATAAAGCTAACATTTAAATATGGCTCTTGGCTCAGGGACGACCTGACAACTCTCCAGACAAGGAATGCCTTGCAAACTCCTAAGAACTTCTTATGACTCTTGTTTCCCAGAAAGGGGTACCAAGTCCTAGCATTTTGACTGTCAATTTAACGTTTCAGTTCTCAGTTCCTCAGAGGCGCCTGGAGAGGATGGCTAAATGCACTCTTAACTTACAAAAGTCTGTAGGAAGAAGAAATCAAACAGTGCCCTGAGTTCTTTATTAGTTTAAATTCCTAGCGTACAAGCACCCTAATGCATCTTAAACAAAATAACCCACACACATTCCATTTCTAAGGAGATCGTTTTCCTCTCTTCCTTCCCTTCCTACTTCCCTCTTGCATTTGTCTTTTTCCCCCTTTCCCTTTTTTCTTCCCAGTCTTGTTTCTCCTTTTCTGACGCTTATCAAAATCTTCCCCCAAAAGTTTATCTGCAACCCCCTTTTCCACGAATCATCACCATAAATGAAGCAAACCCTCCATAAACAAAAGAAAAGTCCTCAGTGGGCATGCTGGGTTGGTGAGAACGGCCCTCCGAAGGAGAGACGATCTCACTGTGAAGTTAAAGTGTCCGCAGAAGAGGGGAGGATGAGACCAGATGCGCTCACTTTCAGACTGTCTGACCACTTTGGCACAAGTGGACACCGGGAAAGCAGCTTTCCCTTAAGGGACGAGGAGCTCAGGCACTTTCAAAGTTCCTTCCCTGCCCAGACCCAGGAAAAGTCAGCGGTGCGCAGGCGGAGCCAGTGGGCTGGCGACACCCTCGCCGAAGTCCAGCCCTCTCCCACCTTCCTACCACCTTAGGGAGTAGGCACGGGGAGCTGGATCACCCTCTCAATGAAAGGCAGATGTCCCTTTAAGGTTTGCTTTGCAGCCCGTGGACTTTAGCCTAAACAACGGACCCGCGAAGCTGGCTTTATTTGTCCATGTCTCCGACAGAGCCTGGGAGGCTGCCAGTGGGATTTCAGAGACCGAAAGCGTGAAGGGGCGGGCGATGTGGCAATCCGTCTGGGATGTGAAAAGCGTGGAGCAGACTTAGAGGCATTCGACAAAAACACAGGAAATCACTCCTCCGCGGCTCCTGGGCGCCGCGGCCGGCCGAGGCCCGGACTGAGACCCGCAGCGGCGAGCAGAGTGGCCCAGAGCGCGCGGCTCCGCGCCGGGTCGTGCCCGCCTAGCCCGGCACCTCCCTCGGGAGCTGCAGCCGCTCGAGCCATGGCCCTCCACCGCTACGCCAGCCCAAGGGTCGCTTTCGCCTGCTGTTGGTTCCTCACTGGTGAGCAACCCCACTTCTCCCTAAGCATCTCCCGCGCGCAAGGCTCGGGGCTTGGAGCGAGGAGGGAGGGACATAGAGCGGTGGCTCAGAGAGGAGGAGGGAGAGCTGATCCACTTTCGGGCGCTCCAGGTAGCCTGTCAAGGTTAGAGTACAGAAAGGAGTCTTAGCGTTTGAGTTTTGATGTGAATTAGTTCTGGTGTCTCTTCAAAAACCTCCACCCCAGTGGTAGCAGGGAGGCAATGCTGAACACTTTACAAGCTAGAATTGATTTTTCAAGTTAAAGTTGTTTTTACACTGAAAAAGACATTGTACTTTAGGACTTTGATGAATGACTTTTTTTTTGGCGGGGGGGAGGGCGACTAGAGGGACCGGGTTTATATGCAAAGTTCCTACCCTCAGCTAGGGTAGGAATGCTAATGTTCAAGAGTGCGCATTATTGCTAGATCTTGCCGTCAGGTATTCAAGATCTTTTCTGTTACAAAAGGGGAGGACCCCGAGGCAAAATTGTTTCTTGTCCCTGAATGATGTTTTTATGTCAGCACCCAGAAAGGGGAACGTTTTGGAAAAGGGAAAAAGGACTAGTGAATGTATACTCTGTAATACCACAGCGCAGACCATTTTTTAGAAGAGCAAAATGTAGTATTGTTACTTGTGTATAAGTACGTATTTTAAGGGAGAGACTTAAACAACACAGTGGAGGTGCAAAGTTATATTCAATTTACAAGAAGGTTGAATCACAGTATTTTCTAAGATTTTCCAAATGATTAACCCACGGTCAGATCTTTCTTACCAGTTACTGATCGAGAGGAAAAACTTGAAATGGTGAAAGGAAGAAGGCAGATGGGTGAAAGTAAATTGTTTGAAGCTTTGTGAAGAAAAATCATCTTATTAATGGTTTTCTTAGCATATCAGAGCTATTCAGTTGTTCAGTGTTTTTCTGCTGGAATGCTTATTAGTATTAGTTAATTTAGCATTTTACCATTAAAAACAGGGACAAGCCAGCCAGTTTAGTCTTGCCTTAGATGGCCAAGTTTTGTTAACTTTTATGAAATCACTTAGCAGTGGCTTATTACATTATTTACTCTATTTCCATAAAAAGAGAATTAATAATGAGATACTGGCTCTTAATCCAGACACTTTCCACTACCCAGGAAATGCCTAATAATCCAAACAGTGGTAACTTCTGAGCAGCATTACAGCCAGTGAGTGGTTTAATTTATCAGCTACTGTCACTACCCTTTACACATGTTTCACCTACGATTCCCTTCCAAGTCAAACTTTTGGAGATTGTTTCCATTTAGCTGTTGTTGTACAAAGCCTGAATGTTTTACCAACTATTCAAATTGTACCTTTTTCATTTTATCAAATAAGCAGTTGCTAGTGCAGAAATAATCAAGTAAGGTTTGCATATCCTCTAAAAAGACAAGTAAGAATGAAACAAAAAGAGAAGGTTGACAAGTTACAGTTTCATATATATACTTTTTTTAACTGGTTTTTTTTTTTTAGGTTCCACTACTTTATTTTTCCATGTCTAAAACAGTCAAAAAGTTGTATCTTGTGGATTTTCTGCAATTGTTAGGGTAATATGCCTTGCTGAACCCAGGAAGGGACTTAAGAGAAAATAATGCAGAGATATTTCTAAATTATAATATTTAGTTATATATGTGTGTGTGTGTGTATTTATATAGAGTTAAATTATTGTCTCAGGTGAACAGGTTCCTCATATTGCTATATTACTGTATTTTTATGCTAATAAAGCACACATTATACATGTTTTGCCAACCCAGCAACCCCCCCTCGCTATTTTTGTGAGTTATGCACGTTATTTTCGAAACATACGGTAATTCCTATTTCACAACATAACGTAAGGATCTGAAATTTGACTTCTTTTGCTGCTTTCCCTATCAGTCATCATGTTCTTTCAGGTCCCTCTCAAATTTGAAACTTCTCATCAATTTATAGAGTCCACACCCTAATCTGGGGTCTCATCAGCATACCCACCCATGCAGACTACTTTAGGGTTCCTCTTCTTGTCTCCAATCTGAACCTAACCTCTAATCCACCCTCCTAATACGTAATTTTCATTATATCACAGTCTTTAGTTAGAAACCTTTGGCGATTTTTTGTTGCCTTTCAGATAAATTTATAAATTCTCAACTGCCCACTCATGGCCTGCCCTAATCTAGCAGTCTCCATCTCCTACGTAACCCCTGTATTAGTTTCCTATTGCGGCTGTAACAAATTGCCTGGTTTAAAATGACAGATTTACTCTTACAGTTTTGTAGGTCAGAAGTCTCAGTGGGCTACAACCAAGGTGTCATCAGGGTTGTGTTCTGGAGGCTCTAGGGAAGAATCCCTTCGCTTGCCTTTTCCAGTTTCTAGAGGCCGCCTGTATTCCTTAGCTCTTGGTTCCTTTCAAAATCAGCAGCACAAAAATCTTTCCCTCTGACTCTACTTCATTGTCACATCTCCTTCTCTGACTCTGATCCACTTGCCTCCCTTTTATAAGAACACTCGTGATTACATTGGGCCCACGTGGGTAATCCAGGATAATCTCCCCATATCAAGGTCCCTAATTTCATCTCATCTGCCAAGTCCCTTTTACCCTGTAAGGCAACATATTTACAGGTTCCAGGGATTAGGACATGGCCATTTTTGGAGAGCCATTATTCTGCCTACCACAACCCATAAACATAAACTGCCTATTCTAGTCAGTCACATTTCTTTACTTAATCTATAATTCTCATGCTTATTTTGCCACTGTGGATATGATCTTGTTTTATGCATCCAGAAGTGAACTCCACCCTTTCTTCCCACCACCCCCTGCCATCTAAACAAACTTTGCAGCTTTCAAAGCTGAGTTAACATCACAGATACAACAAACCACCACCACCTCAATAAACTTCCCATTAGATTTAGATTCCCATTAACATTTAATAAAATGATTTGTCAAGAAAGATGTTCTCCCTCATGTCCAAATAAAGTCTTTAATGTTATTTTATGTATGTCAAAGTCCCAACGAAAAAACTCGTGACACAAATAAGGGATTTAATAGAAGAAAATTTAACAAAAGGACTTTTTACGAAAGTGTTACAAAGAAAATGACAAAATAGGGTGGAGCACCTAGGACAAGCAACAGCGGAAATAACCAGCCTGAGGAGGGAGCAATATTAGCCTGACTTTAAACTGTAGCTGTGGGAGAGGGGCCTTTGGACAGGACCTGTGGCCACAGGTGGAGGAGTGCTGATATTGTCAAAACTGCAGCCCAGCATGGGAGAGCAGAGGAAATAAATACCCCCCACCTCTGGTGGCACAGTGCTTAAGAGCTATGGCTGCTAACCAAAAGGTTAGCAGTTCGAATCCACCAGGCGCTCTTTGCAAACTCTATGGGGCAGTTCTACTCTGCCCTGTAGGGTAGCTATGAGTCGGAATCGACTAGATGGCAATGGGTTTGGTTTTTTTGGTTCTCCCTCCAAGGGGGCCCTAGTGGCGCAGTGGTTAAACATTTGGCTGCTAACCAAAAGGCTGGCAGTTCGAATCCACCAGCTGCTCCTTGGAAACCCTATGGGGAAGTTCTACTCTGTCGTATAGGGCCGCTATGAGTTGGAATCAACTCGATGGCAACAGGTTTGGTTTGGTTTTCTCCCTCCAAGGAGCCCTGGTGGAGCAGTGGGTTAAGTGCTCAGCTGTTACCTGAAAGGTCGATAGTTTGAGCCCACGATAGTTTGAGCCCACCAGCTACTCCGTGGGAGAAAGATGTGGCAGTTTACTTCCCTAAAGATTACAGCCTTGGAAACTCTATGGGCAGTTCTACTCTGTCCTACAGGGTCGCTAATGAGTTGGAAATCAACTCTATGGCAATGGGTTTGATTTTGGTTCCTTTCCCTCCTTCCACCCTCTAGTATCTTGCTCATCCCCCCCTATGGCCATACCCAAATGACAAGATTCAGCCTCCTAGGGGACAAGGGTCAAGACTGACAATAACAGAATAACTAGCACAACTTAAGGCTGGGAAGAAAAAAACAAAAAACCAAACCCGGTGCCCAATAGGACAGGGAAGAAGTGCCTCATATGGTTTCCAAGGAGCAACTAGTGGATTCAAACTAACTGAGAATATATTATGTGGCAGGTCCTGTGCCAAGAACTTTACATGCATTATTTCATATTAACTGTCAAAATAACAAACCCTAAGAGTTTGGCACTATTCTCCATATTTTAGAGATGAAGAAACTTAAGTACTGAGAGGTTAAGTTCATTTGTCCAAAGTCACAAAGCTAGAAATGAGCACAGCCTGTGCTCAGTTCAGATCTCTGACCCCAAATTGCATGCTTTGAAATAATACGACATAGAGCTTGCCTAAATATAAGTCCATTTCCCTCTTGCTAACCACTCTAAGTGTGAAATCTAAGAATAATTATCTAAGACTTTGATAGGGGTCTATTAATGATGCATGTGAGTCTGTTATTTTCATGATATTTAGGTATACAGTCAACTTAGATGATATCCCATCCTACATTTGTCATAACGCAAATAAGACCACTGTCTCTGGTTATTAACAGTATAAATATAGAATGATCTCTAACTTATTTGTCTCTTCTCCCTAGAAACATTTTAGCTGGCCTAGAATCAACTTTTATGACTTTTTTGCACACACAAAATTTCTTACTCAAAATTAAGTCTAGTGAGGAGATGGCTGAATATGGAAAGGAAGTCAGCTACTTACCCATAACAATGAATGACCTTCAATGACAGACAATGTATTGGCAGGAATTACTGAAGATGATGAAACTCTTCTATCAGTCATTATGATGTCTCTAACGGCAGCAATGGTTCACAGGATTTTTGTTTGTTGAGTAACAATGAAATATATATGCTAAACTTATTTATCTTCTTTTTCTCCCTGCTGTCAGGATGCTAATCTAGCTATTTTTGACAAATGAGCTCTTGGGCCACAGTTTATCACTGTTCATCTTACTTCCTTCTATGAATGCTCCTCTGCC